TCATCATTCTTTGCCAAACATTTTTTCGGAATACACAAGAGAAGGCGGCCAGCAATAAATCTACCGATTGTCACCACACTTTTTCGAAAAAGAGAAAGCTCATTTGATGAAGCCAACTACAAATTGTTTGCATTGTCCGACGGAATGTTCAAGGGTGCGCATCAGCCAATGATAAATTATCCTTTGTTACGCTGCGAGAACAATGAGATAAGTAAACACTGAAGCCAGTTTTAAAAGAATCCCATTCCAGGTCATTTCGGAGCAGGCTGGTCATTCCGCCAGTCCAGTAGATGGTCATATGTGCTGGTTACAGACTGAGCTGATAGACAGATTCGTCACTGTGTAGTGGAAGCAAGTGTTATCGCCCTTTGAGTATTCGACGAAATGCAATTACCTCCCTAGAAAGACTACCGTACGCCCACCTTTTTTCACCTCTGGAGATTTAAAACATTAATTTTCCACATTAAGTGGAAAGTTCGTGAGAACTTAAGTGAGAAAGGAAATGGCCTAAATTCACGACGGGATGCCATATTTCCAGAAGAGTTACGCGTTTTCAAATTTATTTGTTGTGCCACTTGTAGTGTTCTTAATTCGTGTATTCGGCAAAATCGGAAGCAAAATTGTTGAAAAACCCAATTTGATTTGTCGCGTTTCCTACGGGTGGGTTTTCAATTGCAACAAGATTTAGGACTTTAGTGATAGGCATGTTTGTTTTCTGGATTTGAGGTTGTTAGGACAATGTTTCCTTCTTACGACAAAGCGCATTACGCCTTCCACTTTCTGGTAAACTCTATTTAAATCACGATGGCCGCAGCGAGTGCTACTCTCATCTTGTTGCTTTTCTGGAAATCGACAGAAAACAACGCGCCATAATGTAGAAGAATCTCACTTCATTAAGGCACAAACATGGGGTTTTTCTCGTTCGCCATTCTTGCGTTCGATCTTGGTCCATCAATTGTCTATTCGGCTTGGCAGAACTTGGGGTTCGTTGATCTTTATTGGTCGTATTAACGAAATCCGAATTTCGGGTAATTGAAAACCGATTTCGCCTTAGCAGGCCGTAGAACAGTTTCTCAAATCTGATTCGTTCGGTCGTTACGCACTTTTGGTGCCATGCCACCCGAAGGTCGCACGAGGGCTCCCAGTTTACCCAAACCTAGACAGAGGAAATCGACAGGCAGAGGTCGAGTTCGAACCACGGACCTCTCAGTCAATAAATTCGCACTCTAACCACTTGAAACATCCGTATCATTAATGACCGACAGTGTTGCCAGCCTAATAAACACGTCCGACCCTCGTGTAAGCTGTATTTAGTTTGGGGTAGTTCTGAGCTGAATCCCATTCCTGCGCCTGATTGTACCACATACCTTCAAGTCACATGAGCGGCAGTCATTGCCTCCCCTCTCGTTGACAGTCTGGGATATTCGTGGACACACTGAACCCACACCTTATCCATTTCTAGCAGTTCAGACAACTGGTAGTGACGCTTCTGTATCGAATTTATTTTACTTTGGTGTCTGGTGATTTCACAGTGACCTAAAGCATTCGGTAACAAAGTATCCTTCGCGCGATCAATGCAGTCGGTATATTATGTTGCCCCAATAATACCAGATAGAAATCGTCTATGGAACGTTTTAAGGTTACCATTAAATGCTTCGTCGTGTTTACTCTCGACTCTAGCTTGTTGTTTGATTGATTCTGATATGGACTGCTAGTACCATGCTCGAGTCCTCGTTTCGGACTGGAGGACTGGAATTCTTCACTGTGAAGTTGCGAGCAGTTGCCCGAGGACAACAATCCGGGTATCCCGTGTCTTGAGAACATGGGAGCGTTTATGCTTACCGAGCTGACGGCTCAAGCTCCGTGTAATCACTGAAGTAGTCGACTATCATCAGATATAGTTCCCGACTGTAGGAAATGGAATCTATGACAACCTGGGACGAGTTAAGGGTTCCGACGAAAGCTTTGGTCCTTTGGTTTGTTTTCGATCATGCAGCCTCCACAAACTGCATGTTGCGGAATGCGTTATATACGATCTACTATTCCCTTTCTTAACTGTTTCGGAATCATCAAGCAATATGCCTTAAGTAGTATGGCGATTCTAGCCGCGGACATCTCAGTTGGTTGCTTTTCGAATTCCAGTCAGCTGGGCTTCAGATACAAAGTTACAGTTACTTGTGGAGATCTTGAACTCTAAACTTGACTCTTCAGTGTTCTGAATAACGTGCCAGCATTCTCTGCATGCATTTCGGGGCGTCATTTAGTAGTTTTTTCACTGCAGCCACCATCGGTTTGCGACTGGTCAGCACAACGGCTCTTCTACGAAACTTTTACATACTGAGCCGTTCAAGCGCGAAGACAAAGGCCGGCATTTCCTCTTCTGTTTGAGCATAGTTACGTTCAACATGTGTCGCCTCCTATGATACAGTGGATGTTATTACCGCTTAAGTACTGTACCAAGGTCTGAATGACTGCTATCACACAACACAAGTAATACGTTAGTATTGGTGGCGTATTCAACTCCTTCCTAATCATCTAAATAGGTCATCTTTGTGAAACTTTTTACACCGCGTGGTAAACTTCTCTTCGCAATGCAGCTTTAAGATAAATGCTCTATCAGAGTGATTCTGATTTTTGCAAAGTTATCACTATTTGACTATCCGATTTTCTAGGCCCACATATTCTCGCATCAACAATCAAGTCAGTCAGAGGGTCTAACTCAGTTTTTAACACATCGCCTAATACTACAAGAATTCATATTAGCGGCAACTCAACAGATAATGGAGTATCCACCACGAACAAATTAACTTCGCTCGGAAGACATCCCTATTCCGGACAAAAAGAATAACACGTTCTACTAAGATCGGGTGAGTGATTCAACAAAATGACCGAAATTCGTGTGATTAGCAGTAATGAGATCCAGCTTCTGAATTATTGTGACCCGACGGATTGATACTGAACCCATTTCGATCGCAAAAGAACCTTACATGTCACTCTCGCCGTTAACCGGCTTCATCAGAGATAGATAAATTTCGCACTTCTACGTGTTTGTTGCTCTGTTCCACAATTACAGAATGGCTTCAGAAGCCCTGACATGTGTATTGCCAACAAAGCTTTCTGAGGTGATGTTAGACCCAGCACCGAATTCAATTTGAAACATTATCTACTCCTGGATAATCGTCCAAAAACGAGACGGTTCATTTTTATATTTATTAAACATTTTCCGCTGCTTGCACCTGTCTTTCTGCAGCAGCTTCAGTGATCCAAACGCCAACACACTGTCTTAGGTTCAGTTGTCGGCACTTTAGCGGATGCTTTGCAAGGCCGGCGTCCCCAGTGTGCTCTTCAAAGGGAATGTCCGCCAAAAATCTGCAGAATGTGCAAGGGTTTACCACCTCTTGCAGAGCAGTCACTAACTGGTTGGGGGAATCGCCAAATAACCAGTCTCGTTGGAATAACTGGAATCTTTCAAAGGCTTAGTTGGTCGTTCCGGACAATGACGTGTGAGGACAACGATCACCTTTGACTGGTTCTGAGAATGCTCCACTCAGCTCCACTGACTGCATTCTAGAATATCATTAGTTGTCCCCTTGGCTTCCAGCTGGAAATAGCTGGAAATAAAAAAGGCATCACTGCCGCCATCTGCGGTAAAAGAAATGTCTTTTTTCACACAGCAAATTTCATCTTCCACCGTGCCATACGGGGCGAGATGGACCAAGTGGTAAGAGCGTGAATTTACTGACCGCAAGATCCGTGGTTCGAATCCGAACTCTGCCACCCGGCTTCCCCTGTCTAGGCTTGGGCGGCCTGGCAGTATCCCAGCCCTCGTGCCTCCTTCGTGAAGCATGGCAGCCGTTTGCTGCCGACTCCTCCTGATTTTCAGCTCTAGGAGCGTTGATGGGACATCCATTCAGGGTGGCCTTGCGACACTGCAGAACCCTCTGGACAGACCCACTAGATTTCGTATCACCGTTGAACTCCGTGAGAAACTGTTTGGTGGACAAACTACAGTGGGCTCTAAAGTAGATAATAAAAACTTCCGTAGAATGGTCTTATCGTTCCAAGAACAACATTTAAGTCATGAAATCACGTGCCACTGTGATGCAGTTAGCTAGTTCTGTAATTTTCAGCATATCGGTGTCCCACGAGTTGAATCGAATTTTATCGGTTTTATGCCACGTTTCATCAATTTACTAAAAGTATCTGACTTTAAAAAGTAACGGACAAAATCCGACTCAAAATATTCATCGGCAATGAAAGATCTCCTCTCTTTTACCTGAGGCGTTATTTGTTTTGTGATAAACCACGTATGTGGTTTTCATACAGACAAGTTCCCATGTTGCCGTGGTCTCTAGTGATGTAAGCTCAGTTACTTCAAATATCGACTTAGTTTTTAGGTTTTATTTGATTTATCGTTCAGTACTACTTAAGAACATAATACTTCATTCTCTAGGCTGCACGAAACTTATTCTACACAAAATTGAAGCCAAAAAACATATTGCAATCCAGTCACACAGGTTTGAATACCACGATTTTCACGTCAAAAAAGCCTGTTTCAAAAACGCTAATATACCTTCAAGTATTGCATCCACAAACGTGAAACTCTTACAGTGGTGAGAAAAAAAAACAAGGTAAACAAAATCGTAAAGCTTGGCTATAGCTCGGTTAAGACGAGAGTACCAGGATGTTTTTTGTGGTTTATCACCATTTCTAACTTTCCACTAGTTTTATTGACCAGGAGAGTCACCAAATGCAATAAACGGACTATCAGTTTTAAAATGTGTCACCAGTCGCATTGTCTAGAGCATGAAATGACCTCTCACCGACAACGGAATTATCCTCTTGATCTTAAGATGGGAATAGGAAAACCAGCTAATGTTGGAGGATAAGGGGTGTCAGGCTTAAAGCCTCATAAATGTCCCATTGAGGTTTCTGACCACGTAAGTATCCTTTCCTTCTAATAAAGTGCTTACAATGCAATAAACATCAAAACAACTAACCTGCTGAGGAAGTTATGTGTATCATAATTTGTAGCGCAATGTACGGCAAGCTGTTTATTGGACACTTGGATCGTGAACTGTACACGGTCAACATTTGGGTGTTAAATCTCGGGTTTTTGAAAAATCACATATCCAGCATGAGTGGAATTATCCAACGTTTGAGAGGCTAATCCAAACAGTGAAAAAGTGTTCGGAATGTTTCTCGACGGATCACATCGAATCTGCCTCACATGTGCTAGGTGGGCTTGTCGTCCCGTGATTCTAATCGCAATTTGTGCTCGTCTTGATTCCCGCCGCCGTGATTGGCTCAAACCAGCGGGCCAATAGGATTTTGGCATCGGCACGAGCCAATCAGGCCGACGCAATACTGGCCCAGGTTGGCGCACCGGACACTGGTTTCGAGTTAGTTTTAGTTTGCTCAAATCTATAGCCGGAATAATAACCGAGGAAATAGCGACTTTGACCAAACTGCAAGTATTTTGAAGCTTACTGTGCTTCGTTAGATCACTTTCGGAGTCAACCAGACCTAACGAGGGTAGAGAGAAAACAGGGTTTTAGGTACAGAATATTTAATTCAGTAGGTGTTAACATCGGGATTAACCATAATTTTTCTGCTTGTCTACATATTCGCCGGTGAAAAATCCACTGAAAAACACAAATCCAGACACAAACTGTCCCGAATTTTTTTCCAATTTAGGCAAAATCAAATACGAATATGGCGAAAATGTCGAGTGATCCAAAGCAAATCTCATGATAAACTGATGACATTTTGGGTCATGCAAATAATGGGAGCAAAGTGTAGGATGACGATCGTTTTTCTGTCATCATATAACCGGAGTCAGTATGTTACTTATAGCCCTGTCAGAACTTCCATGCATGGCTACTGTGTAAAGCACTTCTGACATTACCAAACACGATTCAGTTCACTGCGTTCATCACGCAGTAGGAGCTGTTCATTCATTTCAAGTAATTCCCATGAAAATTCGAATTTTGAAGAAACTCATAAAGCTATTCGTGGATCAACGAATTAAAATATTCGGTATATCTTCTCCAGTCTTGAGCTACCATTAAGCGGCACAGTTTAAGTGGTACACTAATTAATTTAAATTAATTTAAATTAACCTATCAAGCCTCTGGATAAAGCGGACAGTAATCCAGGCATTATAGACGCTTAGAACGACAACTCAGCCTGCTTTCCTATCAGGATTCAAGCAAGTCGTTCCAATTCAATTCATTTTGATGTTCGTAACTCCCGCCTCCCTGGATGAGGGCCCCGGGGGGTCTCAAGTCACCAGTGGTTAATGACACTGGCGGAAGTGGTACAATCGCGCAGTCAGTGGTGCTTCTGCATCAAACTTGTCGCCTTCAGTGCGTAGCGCCCCAATTTCCGAACAAACTAAACATGTCTCCGCCTCCAACGTTTGGAGGTTTTCCATTTTTCGGTGATCGGAATTGGAACCACTGTGCCTATGGCACACGGCGTAAAACTGACAAACCGCATTTAATCATAAAAAACGGGTTACGTTTTCATGTTGACCCATTGATGTTACTCATTTTCGGGACAACTCTTGAAAGGCAGCACCCAGAAGTATGACTGATCAATTCCTATGGAGCTGGCATGTTGGTTGCTTTCATATAGTTACCGAAGGTTACTCCACGCGCCGTCCAATGATTTTGCCGAATTACTGAAGCTCCAAACTTTCTTCATTGAGCTGAGGAAACAAAGGTGAGAAAACAAATTGCCCGTGTTCAGTACTGTTGCGACAAAACATGCCAATATACATTAGCAGGCACCAATCCGCCATTATTTGTCTATTTGTGGTAACTAATTTTTTTTAGACATTTGTCTTGTGAGTCGGCCACAGTTACATATACGTTAACCTGTTTCGAACGATCCTGCCTGGATCATATGACCACCGGGATTGTTTGTTGACGACATCGGCGATAGGCCCACATAGACGCTGCTTATTCGGTTTTCATACATATCCACAGTAATTCAGCCTTGTTTTTCCAAGTTGGAGCTAGCGTATTCTCTGTCTTACAGTTTTACAACTGTCACACTGTCGTATTTCATTAAATACAGATGGTGTAGAGTCTTCCGATCCCAAGTGATGATATCTCGGACACCAGTGATTTATAAGTCAGCCGCAAGTGGAAAAAACTCATGATTTACTACGAAATACAAACGTAGAGCCTGGGACCTGACAAATATGACCAGTTTTTCGAGAAATACACTCATTTGCAAAGCAATTTGGTTTTCATGAGAGACTCAACTGAATCTGTCATCTGTGCTATTCCAAATTGATTTGCAAATGAATGTATTTCTCGAAAACAGTTCAATTTGGGTTCAAGTAGAACGTAAGATTGACGGAAACTCGGGGACTGCGCCTACCTAATGACCCCCGAGAAGGGCGGAAACGGTCGTGAACTGTCGAAGATTTTTCAGTAGCCTTGTGAGTAGTTTCCCTTATGACCACTTTTTGTTTTGTCACACTCCATGACTATTAACTCAGCCCAACAGGAATGAAGTTTTTAGTTTTGGACCCCTTAACCTGAATACCTGGAGGGTAAAATCGCCGTCCAGCGTACATCCACTGCGCAGAAAAAGCATACCACCAAATAGCTCAGTGAAAGTGGGCTACTTTTGGGCATATTTTATTGAAGTCTGACGCTATCATGTTTTGGTATCCCAAGAAAAATAACTTCAGTGTACGCCATCCTTGGTATGACACCTTTGTAAGTCATTCAAGAATAGGTTTAGTGAAACTCTATAGGCAAAATCTTTGTATAAAAAATCAGCAACCCTTCCTAGAGATACCGGTGTTTTGGCAATGTGAGTAATATTTTGACCAATAATACTGAATCATCAAGTGTCTACCTTTGATGTCCGTTAGAATTTTTCAGTTAACATGGATGTGGTTCTCGGGAGAATAAAACGTTTCCTTGGTGGTTCAAGTAGATCATAAGGTTGACGGAAACTCAGGGACTGCGCCTACCTGATGAGCCCAGCCCCAAGAGAAACCGGTCGTGCGCCGTCGAAGAGTTTTCAGCAACCTTGTAAGTAGTTTCTTTTATGAAAACAACTCTGTCAGTCTTTTCTTTTATGCGATCCGTTTGAATCTAGCACAAAGTTGCTAGCCGTCATAATGTAACTCCACAAATAATCCGGTTGAAATCAGTTTGTTGACTGCAACCTGATGAGCCCCAAGAAGGGCGTAATCGGTCGTGCGCTGTCGAAGAGTTTTCAGCAACCTTGTGGGTAGTTTCCTTAGTGCTTTACTGAAAGTCACTGAATAAGTTACCCGATGAAGTGCCGTTACGCCCACGCCATATCTGAATAACTCAGTCTTTTCCCATCTCGGACTATGTTACAAATCGCGTCGCTGACTACTCAAACCAAAGAAACCTTATCCCATGTTCAGTAGTCCTATGGAAATTAATCGACTTTGGTTAGAAACGTGTCCCAAATCGATTGGGCATATAGTTGTGCCGGTAGTGCAGTTTTTGGCCTCAGTAATTAAGCTACACAAAATTTGAAGATTAATACTGAGTTGGCTGACGTTAATGGATCCAAAATTGACGAGTGGCGTGGGGCCGGCTTCATTCAGCTTGACATTCTTCGTAATACTCTGCTGTGAACATGACATCAAATTCGCTGTGGACTCCGTCATATAATATCATGCCTCACATCATCCCGCTACGTCACGCGACCCGCAACATAACGCTTCGTCAAGTTAACCTAGTTGACCCCTTTCCCACGCTATCATTTAGGACCTTTTCTTTCACAATAAATCATATAGGTTTCACAGAAAATATTCCGCTTCGTGTTGTAGCGAGTACAAATGTCACATTTCCTGGGTGATAGCATACCTGATTTGCCAACAGCTGGTTTCTTCATTGGTATTTGGAATTGCCTGCGTACATTCGCATCGTTATTCAAGGTGTATGCGTTTCCTTAGAAATCTACCCAGTTTTCATGGAACTTTTTCAGGTGAGGAAACTATCCTCTAGATCTGCTGGCTTTTCGATGAAATCCAAATAAGGTATTCGAAAGAAAGTCTGGATGACCGAAAATGAACTTTCAAGATACACTCTTCGTGTGACAGAAGCACCAGCTTGGCAGTTCTATGCTTTTGAACGGCCAAAGTGGGTTCAGTGCCATATTAATACCTCATCCAG